TGGGTTGTCCTTTGGACGTCAGGCCAGGGCCCTCATTAGTCCGCCATAGCTTATGCTTGAGAGAGGAGGCTGAAGGAGGGAAGCCATAGCTATGGCGGACTTGTTGTTGTTGTTGTTGTTGTTGTTGTTGTTGTTGAGTTGAGTCAGCAGTAAGAGGGAACTTCGGATATTAATTCTGGTTCATCCATTCATTGTTATTATTATTGTTGGGAGAAGAATAAGATTGGCGAAGTGAAGGAGGAGGAGGAAGGTGGAGAGAGAAGGGGGAATTGTCATTGGTCTTGCTGGTGCATATCTTCTTCTTTTTCTTCTTCTTCTTCTTCTTCTTCTTCTTCTTCTTCTTCTTCTTTCTCTCTCCTCTGGTCTTTATCTCTTTGCAAGTGCTTTCATTTCTTTCGCAATTGGGTGGCATTATCTTTCATTGTGAATTTGCACTTGGGAAATGACCAGGATCGTAACAATTGSTATCGGAGCGGACTTACTTGCTGGCGAGAGGTGTTAGTCACCCTAAACCTAATTCCGAATTAGGTTAGGGCTAACCTAATCTTAGATTAGGGTTAGGAAGTTAGGGTTAAGTGGGGCAGTGAGGTATGTGGATACTGCCCCCACCTGGTTAGGTCATGTAGGGTCGACATTAGACCTGACCAGGTTGCTTGAGTGATTGGATGGGGTGGCGAGACACAAAGGAGGCTGATTGGAGAAAGCGAGAGGGAGTAGAGAGTGAGAGGTACTCGCACCTGGAATCTGCACTTCAAGAAGACATTGAGTGACTTTTGGGCTTCCCCTCAAGAGGGAGACTTGATCGGAGGCTGCCATATCTGCATCGAATTGCTGCAAGTTGCTACTTTGGTCTTTAGACATCCACGGTGGATCCGGCTTTGCAACAGGGGTGTAGGAAGGCCCTCTTAGTCATGCTAGGACACTTCGTGTAGTGGTAGCTAGGGGTCAAGAGGACTTATGAGAGAGGGGGGTGAGTCGTTATCCATCTTTGGAGGCCGGGCCTCACAGGTAAGTGTCGTGTGACCTGGTTAGCCCGTGGGAGGTTGCTTGGTGCTTCATGGCCTGTTGGGGGTGTGCTGGGCTCTCTTCCTCTTCCCTGTGGTCTTGGCTGTGTGTGTGAGCATGTGGATTGCTTTCTCACCTGATGGATGGATGGATGATCTATCTGTTCTAAATGACATATCTTTCTACGGTGCAATGTCTTTTCATTTTGAATGGTTGTAGGGGTAAGTTTTTGCTGAAAGTTGTCTTTTCCTTTTCAGTACGGTAGAGGCAGTTTGGGACTGACTTGGTACTCCTATCTCGTTGGTCCTGGTCCACGACCTACTTGGGACCTTCGGGACTCAGTGGGACCAGGCCCAACGGGACAAGACCTTTCGGGCCAAAATCTGTTGCCGCCTGTGCATCTCTTTGCTGCGCTGAACTTGGGGGACATACGACTAGCAAGGGCATTCCTTTCAAGGGGATCTTGACTGGTCTTACTACATGTTATCACATACTGCCCCGCGTCTGATTCGGCGACCGTCTGCACCCCTCGAAATGTCCATTGCTGCAGTTAGTTTTCTTCGGCTGATTTACTGTGGTACCTGTACCTTGTCAGGTTAGACAAGAGGGGATCTCCCGCTGATCTGATCGGGCCCGTTCGATAAGTCAGTCCTCTCTTTTGTTTCATTTTATTTATTTATTTATTTATTCTTTTATTCTGCTGCATGCCATTCTCTAAGTCCAAATGAATCGTCGCTCCGGCTAGGAGTTCTACCTTCTACTCTGTGTGTTTTACTGATTGTTTCTTTCATCTGAACTATCTATGTCCGGTATTGAGACACGTGCGCAGAAAGCGGGAAGAGAGAGAAGGGAGAGAGAAGGTGTTCTGTTTGAGAGTGTGAGGAAGGGCAAGAGGAGTGTTCGTCCAAACGTGAGGAGAGAGCGGACCCCTCTTGAGAGATCTACTAACACCCCTTCCTCTGGCATGGCGAACATCACATCTGCCCAATGGCAGGCCATGCTGGACGCAGCGGACGAGAACGAGAAATCGTTCTTCCAAAAGCTTTATGGCGATGCCGTGCAAAGGGAGAGAGAGGCAGAGGCAGCATCCAGAGCCACAAGCATTGCTGATCAGGTGGCCCTCCTGCAGGTCCCGGAAGCTAATGTTGACCGGTTCCAAGAAAGGTTAGCTGCTGCCGTAGCAACCTTGTTTCGACTGCGGACCCTGGAAGACCTTGAGTCCCGTGTGACAGAACTGGAGCAGCGGAACCAAGAGCTGCAGGCTGAGATACTCAGCCTTAAACAGTCCCAACTGTCTACCCCTCGTCCTCCTAACCCTCGACCTGCTGCAGTCCTAGTCTCTCAATCTAATACAGTCCTCATGGCAAGAGCAAGCGGAACTGTGACGAGCGCAGGAACGGGTGCCAGCTCCTCAAGCGGCAGCGCCGACAGTTCTGCACTAGTCATAGTCCCAAATGCAGGGACAACAGCCCAAAACGCCATCGTCCTTACTGGCGTACAGGGCAGCGGTCCCGTAGTGGACAAGCGGGCGGCCACTTTGCCGTCCAAGTACGACGGGAAAGCGGATATCACCTCTTGGATTAGTTCCATGCGCTCATACTTCGAGGTTATGCGGTCACCGCAGGAAGACCGAAGCATGATCATGGGCACTAATACTGAGCCCGCCGTACAGAATCACATTGAGCTCCAAGCTGTTGCTGCAGGTTATGAAAGAATTGACCTGACTGAGTGGCTGAATGTAACCCCTGTACGCACCCTTGAGGACCTTCTCATCACACGGTACCAAGATAAGCATGCTGCGCTCAAGGCAAGGCTGAAGCTTGAGGCCCTCAAGGGCCAAACATGGAGGTCCTCCATGCAGGCTTTGGAACAACACTTAACTGGTTTGTTCACCACTCCAAACCTGGGAATGACCGACATGTCTTGCATGGATGTAGTCATGGGAGTGGCCCCTAAAGAATACCTCTCCCTGTTAGCACTCAAAGACCATACCACCTGGCGAGAGCTCATGACGGATCTAGTCAACCTAGAGGCCAAGGACCTCGCTAGGCGTAAGAAGGCGCCCGCTGCAGGTGGAAAACCACAATGCAAGCGGTATGGAAGCAGCAACCAGCTTGCCCTGCATGAACATCGGGAGGCTGAAGATCAGTCCTACGCGGATGATCTGTCTCTAGATGACGATCTAGAGCCGGACTCTAATATGAGTTGTTCTACATCAGCCATTGAGTCTGACGTAAACGAAGATGAAAAATTTAATGCTTTCAAAAAGACTGCTTCAACTAAGGGGCCTAACCATGTTCGGGTAGGGGAACTATTGCACACCTCCCCAAGAACGCGAAGATCACTGAGAAACCGGAGGACGCATCTACCAAGCATTGGGAAACCCTCCGTATCAGTCAGAAAGAATGGGAAAGAAGATCCAAACTGCGCATATGCTTGCATTGTCAAAAGCCTGGGCATGTTGTGCAGGACTGTTATCGTCTGCAGGGAAACAGGCAAAGGGCGTAGAAGAGTCATCAGCACTCTCTACAATGAGGGAAGCTGAAGCGTCAGTTGCAGGCCCCTCCAAGGAGTCTGAATCTGATCAAAAGCCTGCCCCTACAGCCCGGAACGACGCTGAATCCAAGGCTGTTGCAGTCCATGTGCTATACACTGAGCCTTGGGAGGAGTCTAAGGAAGTCGACTTCCACGCTCACCTGGAACATTGGCTGCAGCTCAAGCAGCAACGCCGTGTTCAAGAAAGCGTGGAGCTAACCTTCTTTAAACTGCTCATTAACCGCCGATACATCCGTGTGCTGATTGATAGTGGTTCAACCACCAATTTCTTCTCTCCTAACGGGATTCGTAAGGCGGGCCTGGGAATGAAGCAAGTGGAATTGCAGAACCCTTGCCGGACCCAGGTGGGCAACCAAGAGGTTGTCACCTCCACACATGCTGTCAAAGGTGTGCGCGTCACCTTTGACAAGGACGCACTGTCACACACGAGCTCAACTTTTATGTCATGGACAAGTGTCCGTTCGACGCGGTCATTGGCTTGGGCTGGCTAAAAGCTCATTGCCTAAGAACCACGTGGGCGGATAATCAGTTCGTGGTGCGTGATGCCAAGGGGAAGGAGTGTACCGTTCTATTGGACGAGACGCGCGAGTTCCCTATGACTCTTTTAAGTGCAACCAGATTCTGCAAATCAGTGCGCAGGCGCAAGGAAGCTGAGCACGTACATGTAGCTCTTGTAAAGCCTCTCCATGTGCTTTCTACTTTTGCTGCATTTTTTACCTCGGTAAGTAATTCTACTTCTACCACCTCTACTTCTATTCCATCTACTTCTACTGTGAATAATCCTTCTACTTCTGATCCAAGTACTTCAAATCCAGTTGTAATTGTTGTAAATTCTCGATCTGATTTTCTTTCTCCTGATGAGGATGATCCTCCCCCGGAAATCCCAACAAACATTTGTCGTCTATTAGATCGATTCCCTGAAGTTTTGGTCGAACCTCGTGGAGTTCCCGAGCATCCGGTCAAACACAAGATCGAGATAATAGAAGGGAATGATCCTCCAAAGGGCTGCGTCTACCGTATGGGACAAGGCGAGTTGGAGGAGTTGAGGAGGCAGATTGATGACATGATCGATCGTGGATGGATTAGACCTAGTGAGTCTAAGTTCGGCGCACCTGTCCTGTTTGTGCTGAAGAAAGGAGGCAAACTCCGAATGTGCATTAACTATCGTGGCCTAAACCGTATCACCCGAAAGAACGAGTATCCCTTGCCTCGTATAGATGATCTGCTAGATGCGGCATGTGGGTGCAATGTCTTCTCCAAGATCGACCTCAAGTCTGGTTACCACCAGATTGAAGTTGATCTGAGTGACCAGCACAAAACTGCATTCAAAACACGGGATGGGTGGTACGAATTCATCGTTATGCCCTTACGAATGCACCGACCACATTTCAGTGCCTCATGGACAAGGTACTTCGCCATCAACTCAACAGGCTTGTGGTTGTGTACCTTGACGATATCCTGATCTTCAACAAGTCCATGGAAGAGCACGTCAAGCACCTTGAGGAGGTCTTGCAAGTCCTCAAGGAGGCACATCTGCACCTCAACTTAGAGAAATCTGAGTTTGGAAGGGACAACGTCATCTATCTTGGGCACCGGTTGTCTGCAAATGGCCTTGAGCCGGAGGCAACCAAGGTTGAGGTCATCCGAAAGTGGCCTCAACCAGTGAACATACGCGAACTGCGTTCTTTTCTTGGTCTGGCCTCATATTACCGGAATTTTGTGCCCAAATTTTTTGTCATTGCTCACCCACTCTCAAGACTAACAAGTAAGAATGTTGCCTATGCGTGGTGTGAGAAATGTGAGACTGCGTTCTAAGCCTTGAAAGAGGCATTGGTGAGTCATCTTGTGCTCCGCATTGCGGATCCCAACCTCACATTCGTAGTCACTACGGACGCGAGCCAGTTTGGGATTGGTGCAGTGCTGCAACAAGATGATGGTGATGGCCTGCGTCCGCTCGAGTATTACAGCAAACGCATGCCCAGCCACAAGGTAGCTACTTCCACATATATGCGTGAGCTCTACGCCCTGCGCGAGGCACTCACACATTGGAAGCACTACCTCTTGGGTCGTCACTTCAAGGTCTACTCAGATCATCAGACCTTGCAGTGGATTCAAACACAAACTGATCTCTCTCCTACACTGACCCGCTGGCTGCATGACATTGATGTCTACAGTTTTGAGTTGAAATACAAGAAAGGTTGTTATATCCGTGTTGTTGATGCTCTGTCACGCCATCCTGAGTTTTTGACTTGCCTTGTGGGTTCGTATGACCTCCGAAGGAAACTGAAGGAGGATCTGGTCAAAGACACCGCCAAGGACCTTAGTCCCTTCCTTGAGCAGCTCAAGGCTGACCCTAGCAGTCAGCCTGATTTTCATGAATGCGAGGGTCTTGTATTCCGCCGGTATGGGAAGTTTGACCACTTGTGTGTACCCAACCATGCGCCTCTTCGGACTCACTTCTTGGATTTGGCACATGGTCGGAGTGGACATTTCGGCTTCGAGAAGACTTATGTAAGTCTTCTCCAGCAGTTTGATTGGCCAGGAATGAAAGGATCTGCTCAGAAATTCATCGCTGAATGTAAAGTATGTCAAAGAACCAAGGTCCACAGGCATAAGCCTTATGGCCTGTTGAGACCCCTCCCCATTCCTGATGGACCCGGTGAGTCGATTTCCATCGACTTCACGGACATGGGAAAGGTGAGTGAAGCAGGGAATTCACAAGTCATGGTCATAGTGGATCGTTTCTCCGAATTTATGAATCTGATTCCTTTTCCTCCCCATGCCCCAACTGAGCTTATCATCGAAGAGTTCCATCAGCACTATATTCTGCAGTATGGCCAACCGAAAACCATTGTGAGTGATCGGGACACCCGATTCATTAGTAAAGACTGAAAGGACTTCACTTCTCAGATCAACGACATTAACCTCAACAAGACTTCTGGTCGACACCCCGAAGCCAATGGACTGGCTGAGGAGATCAACCAGACTGTCATCCAACTACTTCGCGCATTGATTGTTCCAGATCAGAACACGTGGGACAAGGAGTTGTACAAAGTGAAGGGACTGTACAACAACTCCATCCACTCTGCAACTGGTGTGACACTAAACCAGTTGCAATACGGATGGCCGATGCGTAATCCCCTCTCCTATCTGTTTCCCGAACGGTCACCTGGTCTGATGCTCGGCATGTCTGGCTACAATGCCAAGTATGCACGCTTGCTCAAAGTTGTTATTGCAGCCATGAACAAGCGCCAGCATGCCATGATCAAACATGCTAACAAGTTGCGCAAAGAAGCAAAATTCAAAGTAGGGGATTATGTTTGGGTCAAAATGTCTGAGTTTTCTGATGAAGAGGGCGTATCACGAAAGTTTCTTCCATTGTACTATGGCCCTTGGCATATTCTGAAGGTGATTGGGGATGATTTTGGTCCTTCATATGTGATTCACGTGCCTCCTCATATGCGCACGTATCCGGTATTTCATGCGTCCAAACTGTTCCCACACATTGATGATGAGACTTTTCCCTTCCGAGACCCTATGATACCTCGCTCTATCGACGACGGCCATGAGATAGACAAAATCGTTTCTCACGAGGGAAGAGGGAGGAACAGACAGTACAAGGTTCACTTCCTCTATCACCCGTTGACTGAATTCTTCTGGATCGACCGAAAAGAGCTGCTAAAGAATGCTCCCCGTGTTGTGAACGCTTATGAACGACAAATCGCTGAGGGACAGATTGCTAAATTTATTGCAAAAATGCCTCCTCACGGACTTACTAAGTCTCTCTTTCTTATTTACTCCTACGATGCATTTTGTGCCAACTCTGAATGAGTTACTCGCTCGAAGGGACCTCGTTCTTGAGAGGGGGGTAGTGTAATGACCCGCCAAAAACACAGACTAAGAACACTGCTGATTTTTGGGATTTGCCGCTGGAATGAATGCCTTGCTGAAATTCCCGCATTCTGCTATGATTTCCATGTTTGTGTGTGCGTGCGTGCCTGCTGGTTTGCATGCCTGTCTGAGTGCTTGTCGGTTGAGTGTGTGTGTGACCCGCAAGGGTACTTGTTGGTTGCAAGGCCCCGCAGGGCCGGTACTTACCTGTGGTCGTGATTGTGAAGGGTTGCAGGGGGGAAAACACTCGAGCAGCGAGGGTAGGCCCGCGACACTTAGAGCAGAGGGGAAAAACACTCAAGTAGCAGGTAGGCCGGTACTACTGAAGTAGTGGTAGAAGTAACGGGTATCGGAGGCTGAGCAGAAGAAGACAAAAAATTGGCATTTTTAGAGGCCCAGTAGCGCTAGGTTAGAGGTAGGCCGGTACCAGTCCAAGTAGCCCGGGTCTAGGGCCTGTCCGGAGGCTTAGCAGAGCCTGCAATGATGTTTCCCTCCGAAAGGGAGGAGGTACCGGTTGCTGGGAGGCTGCTCGGCCTAGGAAGTCACCGCCCAGGAGGCTAGTAGGCCGCTATATCTTTCGGAGGAGCAAGTAGCTCCTCCTCATTTGCGGTGAGCAAGGATTGGCGACATGTTGTTGGAGCACATCGCTGGACTGGTACAGCGCTGCTTGGAGGTGCAGGGCAGCTGCAGCTCCGCCTAGCTATGGCGAGCATCCAGCTTGAGGAGGAGGAAGAAGGGGGCGAAGGAGGAGAGTGGCGAGGCACTTACCTGGCTATGGTAGTTACCATCTTCATCACCTTGTTGGGCGCTGCATCTGGAAGGCCCCAGTTGGGGTAGTGCTGCACCAAGGAAGCTCGAGGCAGAGTCGGGCATGGCGG